ACACTTCTCATTCTGCCAGATTTGAGAGGAGAGAACCTATGACATTCTTTTGGGTTAGCGTTTGTTTGTTTTTTTGGTTTTTTATGTATTGTTTTTTAACATGTATCTCAATACTTGTTGGGCGATTGTCTTTCTTTAATCTGGGACTGTGTAACTTTGGGCAAATCAACTTATTTAAGCCACAGTTCCCTCATTTGTAAAATAACTATAATAATAGTACTTACGCCATAAGGTTATTATCAAGAATTAAATGAGAATAATGCATAGGAAGTTCTTAATATTTTTCTAGCACCTAATAAGCTGTTGTTCTCGCTAATGATTTCCTTATTTGGCATTCTCCCCCAATCCAGAGGGGGGAAAAAATCTACTCTTTTTAATGAGATTTTGAGATCATTCACTGAATTTTATTTTTCTTTTACATTTACAAAAATGAAAATAATATGTGATCAAATAATACCTGGCTATCTCTTGAAATTCTGTTCCTTTTATTTGTGTTTTATATCAACATATGGTAATGCTTGGGCAGAGGAGAAACTTTATTATGCTATTATCTTTATTATTTAATGATTATTTGGCTCCCAGAAAGAGTGTCTGATACTGTTCATCTCAGTGTGTTTCTCCAGCTCCCTGGAGAGTTGTGGGGAGTAACTATGAGCCCCTCCTTCTTATTTCTAGCAAGTAATGAGTTCTGGCTCACTGACAAGTCTCAATGCCGATACAGTCTTGTAGAAAGATTTGAGAATCTGAAAGCCTGAATTCAAGTTCGAATTCAATCATTTACTAGCTGTATGTCCTTGAACAAGCCACTAACCTCTCTAACACTCCATGGAATTGGGATGTTAATGGGCCTCTTATTTTTCCTTCATAGAATTATTATTATCCTTCATAGAATGACTGAAAGTGATTTAAAACCACTAAACCCATTAGATCACTCAGTATCATTAGAGCAGACTTACTGATATTATAAAAATTATTAATAATAGTGCCCAGGCTGGGATAATGAGATCATAAATAACACTTTGTGAGAACAGGTTAATTTTGATCAACAAGCCTCTTTTATAGAGCCAAAGAATAGATATCACACTTTTTTCATTAAAAAATAAATCTGACCACTTTTTTTTTTAATCCAGTTGCTTTTCCCTCTCATTATGTTAACATTAAAAATTCCTCCAAATTTAAAGTTTCAAAAAGCAAGATTTCTCCAAAAGGGTCTCTACTTCCTTTGCTCCATGGGTTTGAGATCACAGAGCAGATCCTACACACGTTGCTTTTAGGTAGACAGAGAAATCCAGGTAGAGAGTGTAGTGAAGTGTGGTTGTCGAAAGTACAGTTCAAGATCACACGGAACAGTTCAGGACTCTTGTGCCAGACCGCTCCTGTTCAGGTCACACTGAGTTCATGTCTGTGAATAAGTAATGGACTTCTCAGTACCCCAGTTCCCTCCTCTGCAAAATGGGAACGATCATAGTCCTTTTGTCATAAGCTGTTTTTGGAGAATTAAATGAGTTAATGTATGTTAAGTGCTTAGAATTGTTTAGCACATGATAAATGTCACATTATCTTCCAAATGGACAGCAAGTGTTCTCAGATGCAGAACAGAGCTCCTCCATCGTATAAGTGTTTCCTTTAGTCTTAGAATCTTTGGAGAAGGAGGCACTTTTCTCCAGCAAGATGAATCTGTTCTTGCCCTGGGTTTCCATCGCGCATGGTTTTCTCCAGGGTAGGTCCAGTGTCTCCACGCTCTGCTCCCACTGGGCCCTGTGTCTGCTCTCATGGTAATTTTGTAGCTTATCTCTGTGCTCGTGGTGTCCCTAGTTTTTCTATTTTTGTATCACCAATGCCTGCCACAGTCCCTATTCCAGAGGTGTGCTGGTAAGCCAGCTCTCTAAAAATAAAAGCCCTGATTTGCAGCATTTACTGATTTCTATGGTGTAAGTACTCCCACCTTGGCGGATGTCAGGCTACCAGTGGCTTAATAACCGGCCTGCCAAATTGCCGAATGTTAAACAGCCAGCTCTTGCTGCCCTGCCCGAGCGGGCCACTCAGGCAGTGAATGGGTTAATCAGGCAGGCTGGCTGCTGCATCAGGTAGCTCTAGATATCCCACAAAAGATAATGGAACTGACAAAATGCAGAAAGAAATGTGTGGGTGTCAAATAGTGCACAGAGGTAGTGCCTTATTTTAAATTCTGATTTTCCAGGGCACAGAGACATCAAATCAAAGAAATCCAACCCACGACCCTTATTAGAATCCAGTTTCTATGATAGTGATTCAAATGCCCCTTATTTCCAGACAGTCCCTCCTTGTCTTTCCCTCCCCCACGCCCCACTACTTCTGCTATAGTTTTATTGGAGTAATTGCCAGAACGGTGCCAGAAGAGAGCTGGAGAGGGAGGAGCTGTACCTGAGCTGACCTGCCTTGCCTCAGATTCCCCCTTCTTGACATCCTTTCTTCCCCATCACTGACGTGCTTTCCAGAATCCTGTAGTGCAACTGTCCCACCCCTCCTGTAAGTCTAAAAGAGGAATCTAATTCATCCCCACAAGTTACTCTGCCTCTAAACGGCATGCCATCCTGGCCAAGGAGTAGGCAGGTGGCACAAAGAAGCATTTTTCTCAATCACAACTGCTTTCAGCAATCCTCACTTCCATTTAGATGAACAGTTTTACAAATTGGGAAAGACTAATCCCAAATCAGCATCATTTCAAGCAAGCATATCTCAGACCGCTGCACCTGCCCACAGACTTCTTCTGCCCACAGGCTGGCCATCTTCGGACAGAGTTGCCTCAATAATGGGCTTTTCTTATAAGTTAGTTCCCTTGGATTTCATCAGTGTTGCATTTAAGAGTGTCTCTCTCTGAGCCTCCGTCTCTGTGTTTCTTGGTGCCAGAGAGGCTGGGGCTACACAATTCCCTCCTTTTAAGAATGTAAGGAGTTTTCTCTTGCCGACTGCACCTGCCTCCGGAAGATGATTCTTTCTCTCTCTGAGCCTGTGAACACTCACACACAATCACAGTGTCCTCCTGTATAGGAGAGGTCTCTGCAGTGTGGATTCAGCAAAATGTTTATGAGAGCATACACTATTTCAGTCTATAGATTATTAACTATCTTGTGCCAACATCAGACAAATAAGAGTGGAGATGGTTACTTAGAGTATTTATGGAGTAGGTAAATATGATGTGCTCAGTGGATGCTGAGACCCACAACTGCCCTTCCTCTACCACCGCCCAGTCCCCCGAATGTTAACAACCAGGCCTTTGCCCTCCCTCTGGGAAGATGATAAAAGTAATTACTGGAGAAATTGACCATCTCAAAGGTACTGACATGGTATCATAGCTAACAAGCTCTACTCAAGGGCTTAGGACTTCCCCTCAGAGTTCTAGATTTTACCACCCCACTCTTCAATGTAAGGTGATAAGCCAGGATTACCAGTCAAGGAAGGAAATCCTCTAATTTGGAAGGCAATGTATTAATGTTCTCCAGAGAAACAGAACCAATAGGATGGATGGATGGGTGGGTGGATGGATGGATGGATGGATGGATGGATGGATGGATGGAGAAATTGGCTCATAGGATTGTGAGAGCTGGCAAGTCTGAAATCTATAGGGCAGGCAGGCAGGCTGGAAATTTCTGTAAGAGTTGATTTTGCAGTCTTGAATTTGAAATTCTCAAAGCTGGAAACCCAGGCAAGATTTCTACGTTGCATTCTTGAGGCAGAATTCCTTCTTCTAAAGGCCTTCAACTGAATGGACAAGACTCACCCACATTATGGAGGGTAATCTGTTTTCCTTAAAGTCAACTGATTGTAAATATTAATCATATCCACAAATACCCTCACACCAACAGCTGGGCACACCATAGGCTAGTCAGTCTGACACATAAAATTTACCATCACAGAGACCAAAGTACAGAAGTAGAGAAAAGCAACTTGGAGGAAACTATGCAGGGAGAAAACTTCATAAAAATATTACTAATATCTTCCCAGAGATAAGAGAAAACATTGCAACCACGAAATAGGATCAAGGTGCAATGTGTTTTAAAAAAAAGAAAATCTCAGCAAACAAAAGAGTCCTTGGAGCATAAATGAAAATCTCACAAAAGTTTCAAAAATTGAGGAACTCTTTTAGAAAGTAAAGCAAAAACCTACAGGAATGGAATATAAGAGAGAAAGACAAAATTCAAAGAAGATCCAAAAGATCTGAGATCCAAATCATAAAAAGTCCCATAAAGACAAAACAGAGAAAACAAAGGAAAGGAAATCATCCATGAAATAATCAATTTTCCCCAAGTTAAAGGACAGGAGTTTCCAGATTGCAAGGGCCCACCGAGCACCCAGTTCTGATTGAAAGAAACCCACACTGAAGTCCATCATTGTGAAATCTCAGAAAACTGGGAACAAGAGAACATGCTCTAAGCTGTTAGGAAGAGAAACCAGGTCACAGATAAACTTGAGGAACTAAAACAACTTTGGATTTCCCAAAAGTAACATGGAGGGAACTGCTTAGAATTCCACACACAACCCAGCTATCAAAGAAGTATAAGGATGAAGGCAAAGTAAGTTCAGCTATGCAAGGTCTCACAACATTTACCTTTCATAAAGAAGCCCCTTCTCAGGAAGCTACTGTAGAATGTGTTCTCATGACAGGAGCACGGTACCTATGATAAACTATCTGGAAACATCCTGTCTTTGACAACTGTAGTGTGCTGGGGAAAGCATTCCTCTTCGCATCCTGGTCTCTGCTCTTGGAATCTTGAGTGTTCCCTGGGTGTCTTTTACCGTTCTCACTAGCATTCATGTAAGTGATTAATTAGGTGGGTTTTTGAGGACTAGTGGGAGATCCAAATCATTACTTGGCAGTTTTGTGAAAAGCTGTGTTCTAAGTTCAAAGTAACCAATCTACTAATCATCTTTGGAATTTGGGATCGGCCTTTGATTTGGTTCAGAAGGAATTGGGAGGGCGTGTTATAACTGAGTCAGCACACTCTGAGCATTACCTGCAGCATCCGTGGCTCATGAGGTCCCTTGTCTCCCCAGGCTATCAGTGTACCTGTCTGTCGCAGTTCACCGGGAGAAACTGTGAATCGGAGATCACAGCCTGCTTCCCAAACCCCTGCCGGAATGGAGGCTCCTGCGACCCCATAGGAAATACTTTCATCTGCAGTTGCAAGGCGGGGCTCACTGGACTCACGTAAGTGAAATTGCTCAAGTCTTTATGCCGTTTCTTGTTCAGAAAACAAAACAGTAAACAACTAACTGGGATAAAATACTTACCAGTAATAGGACAGGCAAAGGGTTAATACCTTTGTGTAAAGACTACTTACGTGTGACTAAAATGTTAACAGGGATTATCTCTTGAGTAATGGAGTTATGGGTAATTTATACATTTTACTTTATACTTCTCTATATTTTCAAATTTTCATATAATTACTCTGTGTCCAGTAATCAAGAAAACAATGCTTTTAAAGGAAGTTATCTCTGACCTCTAATATTTCCAATATAATTCTGAGGCAGACATACTATCCATTTCCCCAGAACTCATTAACTGGATTCAACTGCTTAGCATTTTATGATCATTCTGAGAAACTAAAGCTTCCCTTTCCTTTGCAAACCTTCCCCCCTCCCCTACCCCCAAGAAATAGGGAAATTAAAAGTGTTAGTGGAATGGAAAGGAAATATTTTAAGTTTTTAGTAAAATGCCACTATCATCCATCCTTGATGGCTTTAAAAGTATATGTGTGTGTGTGTGTGTGTGTGTAATGTGTGTGTGTATATGTGTGTGTATATATATATATATAATCTCAAGCAAGTGATATTCTAATTACAGATCAGTCTTATGTATTCATTAAAGCAAATCTCTCGAGGACTTTACCAGGAAATACTTAACTCACTTTGAACCGTTGGATGAAATTTAAAGTAATAAAGTGGCATTTATTTTTAAATACTCTGTGATTCTAATTTCCAACTGAACCTGGCTTCAATTTGTTCAAATTAAGGACATTTGACTACATTTTAAAAAGTAGATTACCAAACAGTATAGGTGATGGGGCCTTTTAAATGAACATAGTAGAACAATTGCTGAAGTAGAGAAAAGTGAAGGAAAATGACCTGTGGTCTCAAATAATTTTAAACTGAGAAATAGTAAGACTTAAATGTTTGCAAGTCATGCGTTGCTTTAAAGAGAATAAAATTAACTTAATTATTTTTCGCTAGAACGCTTTAGTCATTTTTTTCCCTGGTCGTCTGCATAGCATTAGCTTTCACATAAGCATAGTATCTGGAAGATAGGTAGATATGTAGCCCTCCATGCGCCTACCCACCTGTGTGTGCCCTGTTTCCCCCATTGCCCAGAGAGGCCAAAAATTACTGTAACCATCACAGGAAAATGTGAGAACTAAAGCCTTCCTCCTCTCGGGAAACTCCAAATAGGGTATATAGTTTCATAGACCTTTATCCGCAGTTCTACAAAACCCAAAGCTCCACGAACTGACAGGATTGGGGATAAATTAGTGGCCAACTCATTTGGCGCCCAGAACAGCCAAATCCGCTCCGAGGCTGTTTCTAAGCTTTCTGTCTCTCGTGTATGTTCTTCTGTTGAAACACTGGCACATTCGATTACGGGTCCTATGCCGGCACCAGTTCCCGGGGCGGGGTGGGCATCTCACACAATATGAAAGATACCTATTGTGTGTCATTTCAAAAACCGCAGATTCTTAAATTCTGAAACGCACCTCGCGCCCCAAGGATTTGGAAACCGGGGCCCCCTCAACACCACCTGTTCTCTTTCTGCCCCTTCCCTTCTCTCTCCAGACAGCCTTTCCCTTGCCCCCACCAGGGTGGGCTCAGACCACCTGGGCGAGGTTGGGCGGGACACACACCTTATTAAAGCGCGGCGCCCCCCGCGCGCTCACACCACCGCCCCGCGTCCCTGGCGCTTTGTTTTCTTTCCCGCGCCTGGGTTTCCAAGCGCGGCTGCGGGACGCACAGCGTTGCGTGTCCAGGGCCGAGGTGTGAGACGGGGGCGCTAGTGTGTGTGTGTGTGTTTGGTCCCAAAGGTGCGAAGAAGACGTGAACGAGTGCGAGCGGGAGGAGTGCGAGAACGGCGGCTCCTGCGTGAACGTGTTCGGCTCCTTCGTGTGCAACTGCACGGCCGGCTTCGTGGGCCAGCGCTGCGGCCTGCGCCCCGTGGTGGTGCCCAACATCCAGGCGGGCCACGCCTACGTGGGCAAGGAGGAGCTCATCGGCATCGCCGTGGTCCTCGTGGTCATCCTGGCGCTGGTGGTCGTCTTCATCGTCTTCCGCAAGAAGGTCTTCCGCAAGAACTACTCCCGCAACAACATCACGCTGGTGCAGGACCCCGCCACGGCCGCGCTGCTGCACAAGAGCAACGGCGTCCCCTTCCGCAGCCTGCGGGGCGGCGACGGCCGCAACCTCTACCAGGAGGTGGGGCCCCCGCAGGTGCCCGTGCGCCCCATGGCCTACACCCCGTGCTTCCAGAGCGACTCCAGGAGCAACCTGGACAAGATCGTGGACGGGCTGGGGGGCGAGCACCAGGAGATGACCACCTTCCACCCCGAGTCGCCGCGCATCCTGACGGCCAGGCGGGGCG